AGTTAGAAAGCGGGTACTCTTGACTTTTGGCTTGTCCTAGGAGCTTAGAATGGGACAAGACCGTATTGCATCTGTTTAGTGTAATAAATGTACTGAAATTAGATCATATATTGCTTCTCTAGGGAAAAGAGAAGGCAAATCAAACCATCATTCCATGAAATTTAGTATGTGCCTTGTGAGAGCTTAGTAAGTAAAAACTAGTGATGGGAATGGTATGCTTATAAAATTAGGTGGCTGGCACATTATCCTTATATGTGTGCTATATTATGAGTGTCTTTTTAAAGCCTGACAAGGCTAGCAACTGAGCAAATATGAATACTGATTTATATTTAAAAGCATAGTGTTTTTATTTTTTTTATTTTTTATTGGTACCGGGGATCGAACTCGGGTCCTTGCGCTTGCAAGGCAGGCGGCAGAACCACTGAGCTAAATCCCCGGCGCTAGAATAGTGTTTTAAAATTAGGAGTGACATTAACCAGTGGTGAGTATTAAACAGCTTTTGTTCTCTTTAGAGGGAACTTTATAGGATCTATAAAACATGATCCAGTGTGTGCAGAAAACCCAAATCCATACTTTCATGTAACTCAGGTCATAGATACAGGTTAGATATAACTTAGGTTTTTAGATTGTTTTAATTGTTTATATGATTGACTTATATATAAATATGCCCAAAGTTTCAGTAAATTGAAATGTTCCCCTGAAAAATTTTCAGATTTTTCTATATTACATGTAGAAGGCATCTACTACTTTCCTCTTACTATAACATTGGAAAAAGTTTTCAGCCACTTTTTTTGAAAAGCTTTCAAAGCAAGTCACATCTGAAATAGAGAATTTAGGGCCGGGGATTTAGCTCAATGGTTCCGGCGCCTGCCTCACGAGCGCAAGGTCCTATGTTCGATCTCCATTACCAAAAAATAAAATAAAATAAAATTTAAAACTTTTTCTCTATAACTGTCTAATGTTTGTTCTTCTGGGCCTATTTTACTCTCTGGCTTACTTTTTCTGTTTTTTCAAAATCAATTTTCTGTTAAGATAAAATTCATATACTATAAAATTCACCATTTTTAAAAAGAACCATTTTAAAGTGTAGTGTTCAGTGTTTTTAAAATATATTCACCATGTTGTGAATCATCACCATTATTTAATTCTAGAACTTTTCATCACCCCCAAAAGAAAGCCCATACACATTACCAGTGACTCCCTGTCTTTTTTCTCCCCTTAGTAGTTTCTATTTCTATATGAATTTGTTTGTTTTGGACATTTCATGTAAATGGAATAATACAGTATGTGGCCTTTTGTGGCTGTCTTAGACTTAGAATAATGTACTTTTTAAGATTCATATTGTACCATGCATCAATATGTCATTTCTTTTTTTGTGGCTGAATAAAATCCCAGTTTATGGATAATACCATGTTTCCTATACAGATTCATAAGTTAATGGACATTTGAGTTGTTTCTACTTTTTGGCCTTTGTGAATGCTGTCAACATTCAAGTACACGTTTTTATGTGAACATATACTTTGAATTCTCTTGTTAGGTATTTAGGTATGAAATTACTAGGTAATGTAGTTACTTTGTGTTTTACTTTTTCAGGATGGCCAAACTGTTTTCCACAGTGGCTGCACCTTTGTACATTTTTCTTAGGAATATATGAGGGTTCCAGTTTATCTCCAAGGCTTGTCAGCACTTGTTTTTAAATTAAAAAAAAAAAAATCGGGGGCTGGGATTTAGCTTAGTGGCACTGCACCTGCCTCGCAAGCACAAGGTTCTGAATTCAATCCGTGGTACCAAAAAAAAAAAAAAATTGTAGACGTTTTAGTGGATGTGAAGTTATATCTCATTGTGGTTTCAATTTGCATTCCTATGATGACTAATAATATTGAGTATCTTCCCATGTGGTCTTTGCATTCAAGTCTTTTTCTCATTTTAAAATTGGGTTGTTTATCTTATTGCTATGAAGTTGTGAGAATTTTTTAAACTATTTTTAAAAATGACACATGGTTTATGTATTTATGGGGCACAGTGGGTATTTCAGTACACAATGTATAATGATCAGATCAGGTTAAACAGCATATCTATCAAATCAGACATTAATTATTTATGTTGAGAATATTAAAAACCCTCTCTACTAGCTGTTTTGGGGAAGTTAAAAATATATTTTGGGCACTAGGCCCTTTTTAGACATGTGATGTGTAAATATTTTGTTCCAAATATTTTGTTCTATTCTGTGGATTGTCTTTTCACTTTCTTTATAATGTCTTTTGATGCACAAAAGTTTTTAATTTTGATGAAGTCCATCTTGTCTGTTTTTTCTTTTGTTGTCTGATTTTGGTGTTACTTTTGGTTCTGGCTTACTTTCAGCCTATAGTTTCAACTTTTTGGTTCATTTAGGTTTCAGTTTTTTCTTTTATCAGCTTTTTAATTTTATTTTTCTTTTCAAATAATTAACTGCCCCAGTGATTTGTCCCTCAGTTGTTGCTCCATAGGCCATTCTTGGGAAGAAATTAAAAGGTCTACAATTCTAAGATATCTCTAGGTGCTAGTGAAAAAAAATTTTTTGGCTCTAGGGAGAATAATCTGGCTTTTGGTAATTAAAGTCTTGGGAAACAATTTTTAAGCTTGGAGTTTGAGAGAAAAAAGGAGTAAACTTTTTGTATTCTACATATGTTGGGAGAAATTGTCCTTTTTAATATAACATTAATTACCAGTATATGCTAAGCCTGAAGTTTGTAAGGAATTAAGTTTAAAAGTCCCTTCCTAGTAAGCATTACTATTTAATCCCTCAGTCTAGACAAGGCAGGTAAATAATAGGAAGATTAAGTGTAAATAGGGTCTACTAGAGTTGACACTTCAAAAAAAATTTTGGTGATTTATTGGACAAAGAACAGCTCTTGCATTTGGGAAGGAAATAAAGTAATCAAATTGAATGTTTACTAAACTGCATTCGTGGCAGTTTTGCCATATTTAACACTAATTCTTATACCACCAAAGACAATGATTGTTGACATTCTTTCATGAGATTCTGTGTTTCAGGGTTTCTAAACTCTAATAACTTCACAATTGTTTTTCATTTTAAGAAGTGCTTTAGAGTTGTAGGATTGGATTCATTGTTTGTGTACCCTTTACCCTATTTAAAAATACCATAGAGTAAGCTGGGTGTAATGGTGCACGCCTTTAATCCCAGCACTCTGGGAGACCAAGGCAGGAGAATTACCAAGTTCAAGTCCTCCCTGGTAGAGACTTAATGAGACTTTTGTCTCCAAAGGAAAAAAAGAAAAGAAAAAAAGTAGTGTACATTTTCTTGCTTTATGAAATACTACTCTCAAGAAATAATAGCTACAAAACTTGGAAACAGCCCAAATGCCCATCAACTGGAGACTGGGTAAAGAAAATGTGGTTTTTAAAAATAAAATGGAGTACTACTCAGCCATAAAAAATGAGAAATTAGAGACATTTATAGCTAAGTGGATGCACATTGAAGCGATACTCTTAAGTGAA